AATGTATATTATTTATGAATTTGCGGAGCTTCAATAAATTAAAGAAACGGGAGGCATGCCGGGAGAAAAAAAAACGGACCGATGCACATTCACATAAATTTGTCGCGGGTGCGAAGAACACAGTAAAACGTAGTCTCATGAAATTTCAATATTAAATGCCCGTGTATGTTCGGCTGCGTTGACAAACTTACGAACCGTAGCCTGTATTTATCGTCGCAATTGGACGGTTCGTGAGATAACGACGTGCTGAAGCCGCATCGAACAAGTTATTTGAGCGAGCGAGTGAACAGGAAAAGTACATAAATTATTGATGAGAATATCCGCCACGTTTCTCGGCTCGCCCAACATTCCCGCGTTCGTCTTAATTAATTACTCTGCTGACGAAAACCAGCGTAAGAAGGGCGACCAAAAAGCGGATTAGATTTTAGATCGCGGAGATCGGTCTCTCACGGCACAGACGAGAGGAGGCGACGAATATGCCGGGCAGAAAAATCTAGGACAGTGAAAATCGGCCTGTATCGCGCGCATCTATACAACGAAACGGGAGCACCGACGCACAAATTGATCGTCAGTTAGGTCTGGAGGAGTAATAACTGTAGTTCATTCCAATTGAGGACTCGAGCTCGCGCGAAATTAAAATCGGATGCGAGCGATACCGATCCATTTCCAATTCTCAGAGAGGGACAAAGTCCTTCACCGCGCCGTTCGTCTCTTATCTTACATTAGACAGAGCTGGGCATGTATTTGAAATACTTTTCTTTGAAAAACAAAAGTTAAGAGAGTTGTAAGACAACTGTAATTTACATTTGGTATTTCAGCGGAGCATATGCAAATTTTGTATTTCATGGGATCGTATAAAAGTATTTTGTATTTTAAATACTATAAGATTGACGATCAATCTTGCTATTTGAAAATTACAAAATATAAAAAAACTTTTAATCTTTCGATTTTAAATACAAAATACGTAATATTTTCATGTGCTGAAATATAAAATACAAAATATACTTGTATGCAAATACTGTGTTTTAAATACTTTGCTCAGCATCTTTTTCTCTTCAGGCTTCCCGGATTAATTTTCATTGTCGTAATTTTATAGCGAAGAAATTGCCGCAAGATGTGAATCCCAAAGGCGTGTTCGCCTGCAACGAGCTGGACTTGAAAGAGGTCCAGGTCTATGGATTCGATTACGATTACACGCTGGCGTGTTACAAGCCATCTATGGACTACTTGCTTTACAGCCTGGGTCGCGATATGCTTATTAAAAAATATAAGGTTTCTATTTTGTGATAAATTTGCTGATTAATCAAATCGATAAGATATGTGGTATTTATATATGCAATTCTTTTGCTTCTTTGAATAAAATCTAGACTCAACTTTTTATAATAATGAAAAAAAATATAATTAAAATATCTTTGGTCAAATATGTTTAATAATTAATAAAAGAAACGTATTTCGTATGTATTCCAAATCTTTTTATCATTTTCAAGAAAAACATTATTTAATTGTGAAAAATAGTTTGTGCTTTGTTGAAAACTTTAGTAAAAGCTTTAGTTTCTGTTTTAGTGAAAGGTAAAAGAATTAAATGTGTAATAGTACGCAAAGCTTGTCTTTTCATCTTAAAAGACACCTCCTCAAAATTTCTCCCGAAATCAAAGGACAACTGATTAGAATTTCATCTTGAAGTTCACTTAAACTAGCTTAATTATTCCAGTATCCAGAGGGAATTGCCAATCTAGAGTACAGAGAAAATTTCGCCGTTCGCGGCCTCCATTACGACATCGAGAAAGGTCTCCTGCTGAAACTCGACAGCTTCTTGCAAATTCAATTGGGGGCCGTTTATCGTGGTTTGCATCCCGTACCCGATGAAGAGGTTCTTCGAATCTACAAGAACAGGATAATACCGATAGCTTATGTGGAGGCACCCCATAAACACTCTTACGTGAGTTCATTATCGAATAACGACGATAAAATGGGAGAATTAGTGAATTATGCACAGCACTTGAAAGCTTAATGCACACACATGTTACTTCTTTTTAATAAGAAAACGAGCACGGCATGATTTGCTTAAAGCCAGTAAATTCAAGATATGAGAAGTACTTCACAATTTTTGAATATCGATGATACGATTTGTTGCGTAACTGAACAATTCTATGCTTAATTATTTTTAACCATTTTTCTAAATATTAAAACTCTCGTCTTCTCTCTTTTTTATACCGCAGCAAAAAGAAGCAGTGACATTTTTCGCGATTTGTACGTTTTCCTTTGTAAAAAAAAATCTTAATGTATTAAATGTCTCGTTCTCTGTTTTTGCATGTATCAACATGTGTGTTTTTGAACGATGAATTGCTTCGATCACGATACAGAAGGTAAGTATAATATATATTTATATTCGCGATATATATACATATATATAAATTTTTGAGAATCTAAATTCTGACATTTATTTGTTTAGGATGCTGTACATCGCTCGAAAATGGTTCAATTAGCCGATTTGTTTTCGGTACCAGAAATATGTCTATTGTGTAACGTCACGGAATATTTTCTTCAGAATCACATTGATTATCATCCGGAAATACTGTTCAGAGACGTTAAGGTGAGCAATCAAAATATAATCTTGCTAATTGCTATCGTAATAAATTTTATATGATATTTATAGAACTCTGTGCAAAGTTGCCATCCTATAATGCATCGACTAGTAGTGGAAAATGTGTCTGAATACTTGGAACAGAATAAAGATTTAAGGAGATTTTTCGATCGACTTCGAAATGCCGGCAAAAAGACGTTTCTGGTCACAAACAGTCCTTTTCATTTCGTGTACGTTTCTCAAGTATTAACAATCTTAAATTAAACGAAATCTATTATACATATAATAATTATTATACAATGATTGACATGACTTTTACAGTAACAAAGGAATGCAATTTTTGGTTGGCGAAAATTGGAAGAATTACTTCGACGTAGTAATTGTTCAAGCGAGAAAACCAAAATTTTTCACTGAAGAAACGCGCCCCTTGAGAATCTACGATGAAGTTAAACAGACGCAACTATGGGATAGAGTCACTAAACTCAACAAGGGTATCATATATCTTGAGGTAATTCTCTATTTTAATGTTAAAAATTATATATTTATGATATAATATGCTAAGTAATACTGTATTAACCGTGGAATATACTTAGGGAACAGTTAAACAGTTGCAAGATATGACCGGATGGCGAGGACATCAAGTATTGTACTTTGGTGATCATCCATACAGTGACCTGGCGGACGTGACTTTAGAACATGGCTGGCGAACGGGGGCAATTATAAAAGAATTGACGGTAATTAAACAATATTTTTATTAATCTTTTCTGTATGAAACTAATCTGTTTTCAAAAGAATATTGATACACTGAATTTAATATAGATATGACCATATGACATATAATATATAAATTGTATTACAGCACGAAATCGAAACCTTGAATGATCCGAAATTCAAAGAAAATGCGAACTGGCTCCAAATGTTAACTGGTCTAATTGAGGAACATCAAGATTATGAAGGACCTGAAGTACAAAATGAACTGGATGAATGGATGAGGGAACGGGATCAAATAAGAAACGAGATTAAATCTGTCTTCAACGAACAATTCGGCTCAGTGTTCAGAACATATCATAATCCGACTTATTTCTCTAGAAGACTGTTTAGATTCGCTGATATCTATATGAGCTCGATTACAAACCTATTAGAATACTCCACAAGTCATACGTTTTATCCTAGGAGAGGTGTAATGCCTCACGAGTATACTAGTTATTTCGTATAAAATGTCTATGTTTTTAGAAATATTTATTGTTCTTATGTAAACGCTTTTAGGACGTACAATATTTTACAGAGAATAGTATGTTCGATGAGAAAAGCTATGTATTCGACGTCATAATATAAAGCCTTCATAACAGAGAATTACTAGTTCCGCTCACAATACTTCCGCCTTATTATTAGGTACGCATGCATAATTTACGTGTATATGCAATGTGAATCTATATCGATCACCATTAATGCGCTTTTACAGCCGCGTAGTTACAGGTAATCTGCATCGAAATGTAATGTATGTAAACGTGATAAAACGGACGGGCGTAGAGATTACGAAGGCTGTTACGTTATTATTATTATTACCATGACAATAGCTGTATTATGTAAATTGAAGTTGTAAGGAGTAAATGTACAGAATAAGAAAAGTTGAGCGATTATACACAAATTATTATTATACACAAAGTATTATTGAGCTATGAAACTTATTGGATATTTTAATATTTAATAATTAGAATTTATTTTTCGTAAATGGATATAAGAAAAAGAGATAATGTGCTTTTACGTAATTAGAACGAGATATAACTTTTGAAGAGTATATTATAAGATCATGTTGATACTCAATTATTTTTGCAAAGAGATTGTATATTTACCGTTAGCGTATTATAAATTTAAAATTTAACTTGTAATATATATTTATGAATATGCTGTATATTTTCATGAACAAATACAAGTGTATTGCATGTATGTAATTCGATACTCAACCAAAATTTATAAATTAAATTAAAACTCGCAATTGAATTGGCATTATTAACTTTCTACTAAATTCTTTATTTAATCTTATTCCTCCAACAATAAAGTATGCATTAAAAATTAAACAAACATTTGTTTGGTTAAAGTTTAAAACGTCTATGTAAAACAAAAATTTAGCTTCATAAATTTAATTAGATTTTGTATAAAATGACTTGATACAATCATATATATCTTTAGCATATTCAAAAATATAGTCATTAAGATAATTGTGTGTTCAAAAATATTTAAATATATTTATGAAAAATGCTAAAGTATATTTATTTACTGTATGTAGACGAAATATATTACTGTTGCTAAATATATCTTTCAATATAAATGATGAGATTCTACGTACACATCAAGAACAAAAATATTTTTCCATCTCTATTACGAATATGTTTATTGATTCTGTTTTGTTTCTGGATTGCCTATACACTTTCAAATTTTCACAAACTTGACACATCAAAAAAATTAGCAATATGACTTGGGAAGAGATTAAACCAAAGATTTCAGTACCAATATTTTGTATACTCACGCTCTGCACATTTCTAGCAGATATTCTAATTGACGAGAAAAAATAAGGAATAGAAAATAACAATAAGGTTTGTATAAATACGATTCAATTTCTGACAGCAATTATTTCTGATATAAACAAAACATATATCTTGATTCCATATTATTTTTAGGAAAATAATTATTCAATCATAATCTATATATTCGTCTATATAATTCTAAACAGATATAAGTAATATCACCTCTAATATTCACACGCATTTCTATAGAAATATAATTTAGTTATATTAATTAATTCTCTTTCCCAAGTTTTTATTTGCCTTCGTGTTTTATATAAAATGGTATAATATTATGTACGTTTACCATTTTAGCACATCCCGATATGATGGTAAATGAACTGGAAATAACTCAAGACGAACAAACATTTCAAAAAGAAATTGCTCTAAATAGATTATCATCGATAACTCTTCAACAAGCTCGTAGAAACGTAATCCATGTTGATGATGAGTCAACAAAGGAACACAAACACACCATCGAGAAAACGCTGAAAAAATCCACTGACATGTTCATCCAAAATTTAAACAAAATCTCTAAGATAGATGTTAAGGATAAAAAAGTAAGTAAACATTATCGTGATACACGAATAATTTGTGAAAATTAATTTATTTGTATATATATGTATATATATATATATATGTACAATTATATAAATATCATTTAAATTAATTTTCACAAATTTGCCTATCTCAATGTTATCTTACTTTATATATATATATATATACAAATTTTACCTATTTTACGTATATTTTATTTATAATTTTATATACCGTATAATACGAGAAATATTTAAAGAACTGGAGTATACATTTTAACATATATATTAAAATACATGGTATACAAAATTATAAATAAAATTCTATCAAAAAATCTGACATTTAGATGATGTACACAAATTGTAGATCATCTAAATCTGAACTTGATGTTTATTATTTTTTAGTTATTAGATCTCATCGAGTCTGAAACGCCTTTGAAACTTCCTGAATCGCCTAAGGACACAGTGTCGTCGAAAACATCAAAAGATGAAATACAGAATGCGGAAATGAAAGTTCCACCATTTACGCCGCTAGAAGCAGCTGCTATATCCTCCGTCCTCGAGGAGTGTTTAAACCAGCTCGCTATAATCGGATTCATTATACCAGCCAACATCGACCCACGCTGGGATGATTCGTTCAAGACAATCGACGAGACATACGGGGTACCTGATGAACCTGAAATTATCTTCAGAGAAGACATGGGCCTGTTACCAATTGTACCCACGAAGGCTGAAAAATTGCAGAGGGAAAGGTGCGCAAAAACACACCCTCATACGTGTTTTATAATACACTTACGCAAAAGTATACTCTACATTCTATTGCTTTGATGACTAGCAGATATATGTAAAATTCATTTAAAAAACGTCATGATCTCGAAAAGTAATACGTTATTTCGAGATGTTTTTATCGGAGCTCTGTATATGTTCAAATCTTTCGCGAAAATATTTTGGTACGTTACTGTCGCAGTAATCCTACTTTAAAAATAAGAAATCTTTAAAGAGAAAGATGCTCTTTGGACAATCGCGCTAATTTGCATCCGCTTCTCCAATAAATCTGCATTTAGGAACTATGTATGTGAAGTCCTAAAAAAAGTCCTTCACGAAATAAGGAACCATAGAACATTTGACAGTCTGCAAAAAGAGGTTGATAATATCGCGAAGAAACTTGAAGGCGAACGTAATCTTGAAGAAAGCGCCCAGATGTGGCTCAACCGAGCTGAACAACTTCGAGAGCAACTAGAATCCGATAAAAAAGCGAACGAGGAAGACAGAAAAAGCACGATAAAACTCGCGCAGGAAAGCGACGCGCGAGTCGATCACGCGATATTCATAAATAGTGGAAAATTGGGTAACGCATAATCTATATAAATGCGTTTGATAGTGTTCTGATTGAGTACATTGCATTCAGGCTATGCGGAAAAATGGGCGAAAGCTAGATTGGAGCAGCAGGAACTCAAACTGAATCTACAAAACAGAGATATGCTGAACAAATTGAGTGAATATTCAAAGGAGTACAATACGGAACACGCTATTTCGTCTGAAATACATACTTACTTAGAAGCAGACATCAAAGAGAAAGAAGAGCAGATAGATATATGGACGAAAAAATATAATAAGGAGATTGTGGAACGACAGGAAGAAATCGATGAATTAAAGGTATATTCCAAGATTTTAACATAATATAAGGTGTAGTTAAATAAATAAGACTAAATAATATCCGTATAATATACATATATATCATATACATATATATTTAACTAAAGATAAACATATTAACAGATAAAAGATAACAAACTTAACATACAAAAAAATAAAAATAAAAAACAAAATCAATTGTTTAATATAATGATACTAATAAGCTTGAATTTAATAATGAATATCTTGATCCGATAATAGAAACTAATAGAAGAAGAAAAACTAGAAATAGAAGAAATGCACGCTTTAATGGACAAACGGCAGAAATTTATCAACGAATGCATTGCCGAGGAAAATAGATTGAAAGAAGAAGAGAAGCTAAGTAAAGCCGCAACTGTTATCCAATCGACATGGAGAGGTCACATGGTAAGAGAACAATTAGGAAAATACAAAGGTCTGTGGAAACAATTGAAAAAGCGGAAGAGATCACGCCAAAAAAGAAAAGCCTAATGAAAATAAGAGACAAAGAATACATCTAAGAAAAAAAGGGCTTCAGTGTCTAAACAAACGACAGAGAGTTTGACATTTTATTACTGAAAAGAGAGTTACCGCTTTCTTTACACACTAATAATGCCTTCGAAGTATCTGTATAAATTATTCAAATATATTTTTAAACAAATATTAGAAATACAGTATTTACATGAAGGTCTGACTCACACACATGCAAACATGACAAGCGCACAGCATTGTTCTACACATTATTTGAACATTACCGAGTACGAATTCCGTACACATAAGTAGTATATAATGATATAAATATACCGGCTCAGTATCGTACTCGATAAAGGCATAACGTCTCTCGGACTTATTCTCGATCCTGTCGCACATTTTCAAGCTAAAAATGACAGCCGCTGAAGCAATCAGTGGCAGTGTGATGATCACTGTACATTCCCTACGTATCGCAACACGTGGAGAATAATCACGATTTTACCAGTAGTGTACAGGTTGGTATAATGCGATGATAAAATTACAAACGTTTATGTGTGAACCGAAATAGGATTATATTCATCGCTCAGTCTGCATGTACTAGAAAAAGTACTGTATTTATAAGTTTTTGCAATAGACAAACTAGTGCGAGCGATTAAATCTACCTTCGCGTCTTATCAGATACGTGTCGAGACAGTTTACGTTCCCCAGTATCGCGAGATGGCCACTGATCTGTTACCGACACAATTCGCGCACATAGGATCTCCCGAGTCCATCTACGGGTTAAATACGTGCGATTCCAACGACGAGGTAGCGAAATTAAATTCGGGCTAGAGCGAAGTGAAAATACCGTCGCGAACGAAGCGACGGGTGTGCGCATACATGCGCGCGTTAGAATTTGAGAATGGTAATTTCTCTACGAGATAGGGGCGTGTTTAATTGAAGTGGAATTTAAACTGGAAGGGAGAACCGTGGAAGTGATGGAACTCCTGGAAGGGATTGAAGCCCTGCTGGTGTCGGCCCGATTCCGGATCCAGAGGATCCTCGCCCTGATCGAATTTCGCCCTCTTCTCGTCGTCCGTAAGAACCTCCTTAGCAGCGGCGATGTCGATGAACTTCTTTTGCGCGCGTTTCTTCTCATCGCCCTCTTGGAAATTATCAGGATGCCACTTTTGTGCTGCTTTCCGATAAGCCTTGATAATATCCCGCTTATTCGCCGTTCTTGGAACGCCTAAAATCTTATAATAATCTCGCGACTCCGATAACTTTTGCCGTTGTTGGGCTTTTTGCAGTCCCTGTTTGGCTCTTTGGAAGTTTGAATCTATTTCTAATGCTTCCTTAAAATCCCTGATGGCTATTAGAGAGAAAATATATTCGTTTATTACAATTATAAAATAGGAAAGTTTTATATATACTTTGGCACAAAATATGTAAGATTAAAATAATAATCAAAAATGAAAAGGGATGTTGGGAGTTGGCATGATTTTGTAGCAAGAAGTGTAAGTAAGTTCATGTAACTTTTATAAAAAGTGCGCAGTTGTTCTGCAAGAACAAGAATACTTTGATAATTCATTCACGATCTACACAAAATTTGAAATCGTACATTACACAAACTGCATATTTCGCTACAAGTACGAACCTTCTTCAACAAGTAAAAAACGAAGAGAAATTGAACAACTCAAATCCGTATCTTTTTCACGCATATTTTTGTGCGAATTTGAGTTTTTCAATTTCTATTCGCTTTTTACCCGTTGAAGAAGATTCATATTTGAACCGAAATATGCAGTTTATGTAATGTTGTATAATTTTAAATTTTGTGTAGGTCGTGAATGAGTTATTAAAGCATTCTTATTATAGAATTGCACACTTCTTACCACGTCGATTCCAACTCCTTTTTTAAATTTGATTATTATTTTAAACTAGCGGTAGTGTAGATTTTTTTTGTACTAAACACAAGATTAAATTACCATCATCGAACATTTCTGCGGCAAGATACGCTTCTGCACTGTCGCACAATACACTCGGTTCTCTTCTGATATTTAAAGCCTCTTGGCAATTACTAATCGCCTGAGTTGCCTCAGAATTTTCTGAGTAACATTTGCAGAGATAATGATAAGCCATGAATTGCACTTTCGGCTCGTTTGGCTCTTGCGTTAATACACGACGAGCTGGATCAATGCACGCGTCATAATCCTTTTCCTCCAGTGCTGTCTCTGCATCTTGTAATAACTTCTTTATCTTTCTAATCTTCTTATAAAAGGGGAAACATTGCTTATGGTCAGGATCAAGCTTTAAACATTCTCGAATCTCCCTAAATATTTATGATAAATTAATTGTGCGTCTTAATAAAAATATTGATTATTCTAATGATTAATTAGAATGCCTCATCACTTTAATGCTCACTTTAATGCCTCATCAACGTCTCCGAGACGATAGAGCAACGTTGAGAGCTTGAAGAAACCCTCCGTATTATCAGTTACCAATTTTGTAGTTGAACGTATGTCCGATACGGCACTCATAAAATCCCCAAGGGCAACATGACTCTCTGCCCTGCGTTCTCTAAGATACGAGGACCACGGACATATCTCGATGAGTCGAGTAATTTGTTGTACAGCTGCTACGTGGTCGCCGTTATACACGAATATATCGACTAATTTCATATCTTCTCTAGCTGGATATAACCTATCTAAGGCATTCAAGGCATCCCTATTATTTGGTTCTAATGCTAACTAGAATAAAGAGAGGCGACATGAGACGAATATACAAAATGTGTAAAAATATAACAGACGTTTGCCAGCAAAAGACAGTTGACAATACATATAATACAGAAATCGTTACATCCTCCTTGCCAATGTTAGAGGAATTCTACAATAAGCCATTAGTCATAAATCAGAAGTTAGAAGCTGGAAATCGACTACTCACGTCGTCAATTTTTAGCTCCTGACTTCTAATTTATGACTAATGGCTTATTGTAGAAAGTCCATTAAGCAAGGATGAAATAATTCATTGTAGATATTCTGTATCAGAGTCTAACCATGAAATGATGAACTTTTGATTGGTCTGTCATTTTTGTTAACTTCAGTAAGTTAGAATGAATAAGATAGTACAAATTAAAATGATAAGATACCATAAAGACAAACATATATATATATATATATGTGTATATATATATATATATATATGTATCCTTCTTTCTCACTCTTGTTTTGATAAAATTGGTTGTGGCCAAACTCTGTTATAGAGTCTCTAATTCACTGTATTACACTGTGTCATCTGTGTCTTTGGCTGAAAAACGACCAATACAAACACAAAGGATGACATACCACGTCGTGAAAGTCGTTTTCAGCCTCATCAAAATGAGCTTGCTTAAGTAAAATGTTACCACGTTGCAGTTTCGCTGGTGTAAAGTCTCCCTTCAGTTCTAGAACCTTGTCGAGGTCAAGGAGAGCAAACTTGGCTTTGCCAAGCGCTAAATAAACTGTACCTCTCTTATAATATGTCAAGTAATTACTCGGGTCCCCCTCTGAAAGAAATTCAGCCTTGAATTCTTAGACCATTGTCCTCTCCAGCATAAAATCAGCTAGCAAGAGAATCATTCTCGCGAATTAAAGACCGGGTGCGAATTCTCGGTTCAACATACCAACTGCTGCATGGTAGTGTGACAACGCATCCTGTAGCTGACCCTTCGCCAGGAATTCTCTGCCGTACTCCAGATGTTTAGCAATCTCCGCTTGCGAGACACTTCCGACCACTAAAAAAACAGGCGTTATCAGTTGTTCGTGTGGATAAACGGGCTCATTTACGCAAGGGTGAAAGAGAAGGTTAGAGGTGCACGTACCGTCGAGGGTTAGATCCAGCAGTGCCACTATCAGGAGACCGTACATGACTGAGGGAAGAAAAAAATCGGTTCCACTGCGTACGACGTGTTATACTGTAAATAAGGAGACTAAACGTACTCGGCACCGCCAGATCAACACCTAACCAACCGATAACACAAAACTGCCCAGCCACGCCGCCATTGCGATCGTGGTCATACGTGATTGGCGTAGCCACGAGTCGTGTCTCTCCCACTGGCATGGCTTAGAGAGCCTTACAGGGAGAGAGTGACAAACTGCATCACGTGACCCGTCTCCTCTGATTGGGTATGGGCGTCAAAGTTTCATAGGCATAGAAGAGATTGGAGAAAACTGGTCACGTGACCCCCGTCCTGATTGGACGTGATACAATTTACCACTCTCCCCCCGTGATGCTCTTTCTCGTGGCTCAAGCACGAGGAATACCGCGTTCTGCGCGGGGAAAACGAATATCTGAGATGTCAAATGTGTTAGAGGAACCACTAAACGGGATCACTTTGACCAACTCTTAACAAGTTAATCAATAATTAACTTATTAAATAATGCATAAAGAAAATATATACAAAGAGGAGTTATAGACAGAACCGTCTAAAGCAAAATTTCTAACTATATACCCAATCAGAGAGAAATCTGAGAGAGGCTATGCCGGTTTTTTTTTTCCTGTTACCGTACAGGAAATCGCCCGTACACTACCGCCAGTACATTTTCAATTTGAGAACTACGTGACTGTATACATTTTCTAACACTATCGATAAAATCGTATCGTCGAAAGTAAATATGGTTCGTCTCTATACTAAATCCTCAGAACAGAAGCGTGCCGACTATTCATAGGAGGGATAGTTTAATGGGTCCTTGTGAACGAAAAAAAATTGAATTTCGCATTTCCTACTTATGTAAATAAAAATTGTTGAATTTTAATAAACGAAATTAAAAATTCAAACAAATTAATTTAATATATGAATTTTGTCTTATAATATCTTATAAAATTATATACGAAATTACGTTTCTTTATACAAATTCACACATCTGGCGTGTTTTAAAAAGACAAACTTTGAAAGATAAACTGTCCAGACAATTACTATACATGTTTCAGAAGTATCATAAGAATTACTTTTAAAAAACTAAAAATTCTAATGCAAAATTAAAAATTCTAATTAATTAAAGATTCTATACAATACAAATTCTTATTAAGGAATAATGACTTAGATTCGTAATTACAAGCACGTTTTACAGCATCCAACACAA